CGGGGAATTGGTTGTTGGAGAGCTGAAAGTATCAAATAAATGGGTGGAAATGGGGGTTTTTACCTTGAAAATGATCATATGGGGCATAGTAATTACTATGTACCATAATGATAAGGTAATTTTTAAGGCAAAGACCCCAAATGATTGTCGGAAAAAAATCCTGGACAAACAAGTTTATTATTATATTTGGTTGAGACAGCACCGTAATTGAAAGTTATGTGGTTATTATGACAATATCGGAGAAGTTTAGAGTAACGAGCAAATTCTTTGCTTGTTGCAAAATTTATGATAAAACTATAGCCTATAAGCTTTCTGACATTTTGTATAGTAACAATAGCACAAGCAGGATTTTTGGATTCTGCTTCTAAAAATTCTTTAAGAGCTGAATCCGATAAAATAAAAATTTTGGCATTACTAATTTCTTAATTAATCAATGAAACCAGAACTCATTACACATTGTTAACCATTTAAGTAAATTTGCAATTTATTTGATTGGTGTTTTTTTTTTGTTTATATTTTCAACATTTCTGTGAAATATTCAAAAAGAAACAAATAAAAAATACATGGAGAATTTCAACTCGAATCGTAACCATTATACCTCATCACAGAAAAAATATGGCTTTACGATTAAATAGCGAGAGCAACGAAATATATCATTTATGTATGAATTTATTAAATTTATTTTACAACTTTTTTTAAATAAAATTAAATAAAATTAACAATTGTATCTATATCTTTATTTATTGTAGTAGGTTCGGGCAACATAAAACGCCGAAACAAAGGACAAACTTATAAAGACACTTCATTCGATACACTTTTTTTAAAAAACAGCCTAAAGGCAAAGAAACCTTATAAATCATTTGTAGAGGTGCCTATTGATAGATATAATCTCCTTGGACTTGTTATAGTTTCTGTCTTTGTAAGATTATACAATATAGGCTATCCAACATCAACAGTGTAAGAACAAAGTTTTTTTTCGGTTTTTAGCCATTCTGCATTAGTCTAGTGTACTAATAATGCATAGATATGCTCTAATTGTGATCATCACAAAGATGTGCATTTTAATGCATTAGACTAATACAGGATAGCTGTTAAAAAAAATCTCTGCTCTTTCGTCCATTGATCCTGAAAGTCCTTTTGTTAATTTAATAAATTGGACTCTTTTTACAACTATTAGTTTTGAAGAGTCGCACTTTGGAAATTATGTCTCGTAAGGATATTATTTATTATTTCTGAATTCTTTCTTAAGCCAATAAAATTCATCTAATTTATTGATCATTTTTAGACAATACATTAAACGTAGTTTTTTTCTGGATTATGATCCACCATTAGTAAGATTAATTTTTGCCTTCATTGGTTTCTTATGTGGATTCAATAACGATTTTGATTTTGATGAAAGCAGGTAGGTTTTAATATATTCAATTACGCTCAATTCAATCAATTCCCTATTTAATGATTTATTACTTTTCTCTGTATTATTTATTTTCTTTTTGAAAAGAGATTACAATGAACTTGAGTTTCCATATGTGGCCTTGCGCTTTATGTCAGGAATAATGGGAATTTGCATAATACCAATTGCTTATTTAACAATCAAGTCAGCTGGTTGTATGAGTACTGAAGCATTTTTGGATTCTACTTTTTTGTTGATATTTGGTAATTTAATAATTATTAATTGGTTGAAATGCTCTAGTAGATCATCATACTCTTCTCCCAAAATATTAAATACAAAACGTGTATTTAATTAATTTAAAAGCATTGGCCTTATAAATTTCATCATTTATTTGGTATGCTAATCACTCATTGCCTTTTTTCCTTAATAGAGAATGGGTTGGTAACCCAAAGCAGATTTATTTTACATAGTTCACCGTTGTTGACTTTTACTGCATTTACACTGTTGATGTGGGTCAAATTTTATACTGAGCAAAAAAGGTATGTTGCAAATGGATAACTATCCATCAATTATTCTATAGTAATAAAAATGGGCTTTCATCTTATCATATTAAATATATGCATTTTTTTATTTGCT